AACACGTGACCATACAAATTTTATTGCATTTTTGATTGGAAATTTTTTTCTCAAAAAATGGCGGTGTAGCACAAAAATTTCAGCGACTAAGTGACTTGCACTATAGTCCTAAAAAAACTTTTTGGCCGTAGTGAGGAGCAATTTTAAAATGTAATGCATATGCTGCTGATCTTATGATACCTGTCAAAATAAATAGTTCATCACAAGAAAAGTACTCATATTTTAATACAAGTGAAAAATTATTCAATTTTTAGACATCTAATGCTACTAAGAAGTTATCACCATCTAATGTCTTTAAAGGGAGTGAATTAGCTAATCTTGGATTACCTTATTTATGTTTTTATTGGTCCCTAGGTACAACTACTGATAATTTAAACAAATAATTTATGACATGGGAAGGTTTTGAGCAACACCTTGGAATTTTTTCATTGGAGCCATTTTCCTTTCTTTCTCTAGATCTTAAAAATAAATTGTATACTATATTATCTGCATACATTAATCCATTTGACAGTTTATTGAAGCAAGAATCAACAATCAACCTTGAACAACATAAAAAAAACATTAGATCATTCTTCCCGGATCTTAATTAATTTAAAATATTATTAATTTATTAGAAAAGATACATGGGTGTCTGAAAAGTTTTGAGAATCGATTTTTATTTAACTAAATTACATTTTGATTTTTTTAAAAAACTATTGCATTCCTTCAAAGTACTCTCCATCAACATCTATGCAAAGTTTCAGCCGCCTTTGCCATTCCTGGAAAGAGTTTTGATATTCATCACTTGTGACATTATCAGTAATTGCCTGAACAGCACGTGCAAGATTTTCTATACTATCAAAACTTTTTCCACCCAGTTCTTTTTGGATTTTAGGGAACAGAAAGAAGTCACAGGGTGCTAAATATGGACTATAGGGAGGGTGGAGTAGTATTCTAACCTTATTTTCGCTTAAATATTCATCAACGGCTTTAGATTTATGTGGCGCAGCATTATCATGGTGAAGCAACAAGTGTTTCACTGTCTTCTATTTGTAATTTGCTTGAAATTTTCAAATACTTTTGGGAGAACATGATTGGCATAATACTTCCCTGTTATGTTTTGACCCTTTGGAACAACAATTCTTGCTATAATTTCCATCAATTGAGAAAAAAACACAAAACATTTGTTTCTTACTGTTTCATGCTGTTCATGTTATTTGCGGCCTGTCTTCCCCAATTTTTACCCATGATTTATTAGATTCTTTGCTAGATACAGTGAAATAATTTATCCAAGTTTCATCACCAGTAACTATATTTTGAAAATCGCACTCAAAAATTTCAAGAAGTTGCTTAGAAATTTCAACTCTATTTTTTTTGTTTTCTTCTGTTAAAACATGTGGAACCCATTTTGCACAAACTTTATGAAGGCCAAGTTCATCATGTAAAATATGTCCAATCCTTTCTTTTGAGACTCCAACTTCCTCTTCTATTCTTCTAATAGGCATATGCGGGTCTTCATTAATAAGCTCTTCAATTTTAGCAATTGTTCCTTGTGTGACAGCTTCATGGGGACGACCAGATCAAGAAGCATCTTCAATACTATTTTCACCTTCTTCAAAAGCTTCAATCCATCAATAAATTGTGCTTAATGATAGTGCTTTGGACCCTTCAGCAACCTCTAACTCTTTATGAATTTGGGATGGTTGTTTTCCATTTTTCCAGCTTACAAAAATGTAGTATTGTTGGTGTTCACGTGTTGAATTTTCCATTTGTTTTTATTGACAATGTTTGAAATTTGATATTTCTGGAACTATTGAACCAAAATAAATAATTTTTTTTTTTATTTGAAAGATGAAAACTGTGGCTTTTATTTAAAAATAATTTTAGCTTCATTGACTTGAAGAACGTAACGTTACATGGCTTTTGTCAAAACTTTTCAGACACCCCATGTACCCAAACTTTTTACTATATTTTTATCTAAAAAAATAATAAAAACTTTCTTGTAGTCATGAAAATTTTCATTGACATAATAATTCCTTTTATCAATAAATTTTACAATATATAAAATATATAAACAATAAAAAAACAAAAATAAATTTATTTTATTTAGCATATAGTATTCTTCAATCCTTGTTTGTACTTCTTTTGTAAGAAGTTTCCTTCTTTAATTTATTGACATTTCTAATTACTTGGAATCAATTTCCAAATTTTTTGTTGTACATATTTAAGTGCAGTTTCCAAACTTTTTATAGCTTTTGTGCTTGTTTTTTTTTTTTTTTAAATTGATAAAAAATTTTTTTTTTTTGATTATAGACAAGGGTGGATATTTTTTATTTTCACGAATCATTATACAAGCCATAAATTTTAATTTTACAAATCATAAGTTTTATTTTACATTTAATTATTTTTAATTATAATAATAAGCTATTGTTTCTATTTTTTTCAAAAATATTGACACTTAAAATCAATTTTTTTATTTATTTTATTATCATAATATACATTATTTTTTTTTAAATTTTCAAAACAGTAATGGTCAACATCCATTATATCGAAATAAATTTGTTAATGAACAACATGAAAAGGCTTAAAAAAATATCCGGTTACTGAATATATTAATATTAATATTAATAAAAAATTCTGTTCTGAAATTTTATCCATTAAACCCTTAAGGGTAGAGTGTAGTCATGTGATTTTTCATAACAACTGAAAGGATAAATTTTTTACTGTGACAATCATTTTTAATTCTAAAACGATCAAGTTTTTAATAAATAATTCCATCCTTTTGATTTGTAGGTAACACAAAATTTATTATGATACAGTAAATAATTTTTGACTGCGAATCATTAAAAATATTAGTGTGTTGTTGTATGTGAAATATTATGGAGTGGAGTGAAATTCTGATTGGCTAATTTGAATTTCACGTATGTGAATTGCGAATTCACATAATTTCATTTTCATGTACAACATAGTTATGCATGATAACATTATTATTATATACATAACAGTAATATATAGAAAAAATCATTTTTATTTTATTTGTAAAAGAATGACTGATAATTAATATTAAATATTTAATATAACATTGTCCTTTTCTTCTATGACATCCTTTAGCAAACAAAAAAAAAAAAAAAGCTACAGTTCACTCTCTATAATGAACACTAAACTTTAAAGTATATAAATATGATTGATTTGGACTGAGATTAATGTATTAAAAAAAAATTTTTGCAATATTAAACTTTATACATTTAATGATATTACTTTGAATAAATTCTTTAAAAACAATGCCACTTTATTTGAATTTATTCATTTTGTTTGGTTTTATTTGATTTATTGGTTTTATTCACTTTGTTCAGTTTTATTTATTTTGTTTGGTTTTATTTGCTTTGCTTGGTTTTATTTGTTTTATTTGTTTTGTTCGTTTTATCATTTTGTTTGGTTTTATTTGTTCTATTCAGTTTTATTTGTTTTGAGTAAACTTATTTGAATAGAAATCCTCAAAGATTATGATATTATTTTAGTACAAAGAGCTTTAGAAATATTTAACCAATAACTTAATTACAATATAAAAGAGCTATTGGTTTATTAAATTAAGCCAATAATTAACTAAAAAATAGGATTAATTTTAGAATATCTGATAAATATTGGCATTTTCAATATTTACTAATAGGCTTTTAGATTATATAATAAAAAGACTAAGAATATTATTGACTTATCAGTATGCCAATAATACATTGATTATTTTTTTAAAGAATATCAGTCAATATCAAATTCCAATATTTACTGATACCCCATTACCCAATTTGGCATCATTCAACCAGTAAAAAGGGAACCAATGGATTATAGATAAGCAAAGAAAAATGGGCCTTAAATTAGCACAAAAGAATTTTAAATCATGCACAAACATAACAGCTTGATATCTTGATTGACATAATGGTGCAGTCTTGCAATTTTTTTATTGTATTTTAGATATAATTAATTAATAAAACAAACATGACTTAGCTATTTAATCATTTCCTTATATGTGGGTGCCTCTATCCATCAAATATTTATGATGGTCATGCATAAATGAAATTTTTAATAACACATGTCTACTAAATGAATAGGGAGGATCAAAAAAAAATTATTTTTTCTAATTATCAATTATGGTTCCTTATGAATAATAAATAAATCTGATATTGATTGCAGGTGTCAGATTATTAAATTTTCCTGTCACAAAATGCAAGCATTGTGTAATACACCCTCCTGCACTCTGGAACTTTTTTCCATGAGTGAGAGTAACTTGGACAAGTTGCAAGGCTTTGGACAAAACTTTCCTCATCTTCCTCTCAGACCAGACTTGGCTGTTTTCATATGGGCATTGATCACTGATAGCTGGTGCTTGTGTGATGATTACTTTGTGTTATACCCTCTCACTAGAATAAAGTTACTGTATTGGATTTTCCCTGAGTTCAGAGTTTTGAGTCTTGGGTTGCTGTCTTGTCAGTGGCATTCCAACTTACCAACAACCCTACCCCATTAAATAATAAAAATTAAAGAGAAACAGAGAATTTATGAAAATGATAAATTTATAACATACCAAACAAAATCTGAACCATTTTACTTTACAGCCTTCCTCCTAACATCAAAGCCCAAATGCAATTTCAGGACCACCAACCTTACTCTGAATTGTAACCTCCCTATGCTTGAAATGAGTTGCATATTCACTTAATATTCTTCCAGAGTTGCAGCTTGGTTGCAGAGCCATCTTTACCCTAGAGATAGGATCATTGCAGACAACTTTCTGGCTAGTGTGTCAGCAGCCTTCATTGTCTGGGAAGATTGGTGAAAGTGTCATTGATGTTGATGCAGTCTTGGTAAACCCCAGGGCCTGACTCACCCCCTGGAATTTTGTTGCAACATTGTATTGTTGTGCTTTTCAGTCAGATTAGCCTTGTGTACAATGAGGAAGACATGAGAATGACTGTAAAAATTGTTCAAGGTAATGTGCGTGCCTCAACATCTGCAAATTTCCGATAATCAAACATTGCATATTGAATTGTTTCATATTCAGTGGTGTGCTGTCTTGACATCTTCATGTAATTATTTATTTACATTAACATTACTGATTACAAAAAGCAAAATATCAATCATTTATTTTGTAGTCATCTTCATAAGGATCTTATAATTACCCAGAGTTCTGCTCTGCATTTTGATTTCAATAACATATCAATGCAAATTAAAAACAACATCATTCATGTTTGTTATCTTTGAAAATAAATTTTTTTCCAAAAAAAGTCAATCACGCATCAACAAAAAAACACCAAGTGCCAATAATTTAATAATTAATGTGTATGCATTGATCAAATAGCAGCATAGTGGAAATTTGTTGTTGCACAAAATGTTATACAGAACCCATTGCTCCTGAAACTTCACCAGTATATAATTGTTACTTCTCTAAGTTGGAGATCAAGTTCAGATCCAATTCAAATCCAGTTTATCACTTCCTTTTTATTGCAAGAATGTTTGTAAAGTTACATTGCACATTATAAAAAATTAGTGTAACATTTCAAATTTCCACTATGCTTCAAATAGCAAATTCTTACTTGGGATAGATTGTATGATTTTTGTTTTGATTTTTTTTTTTGTAAATTAAATTTGTTGTTTGCCTATATTTGTAAATAAACAGTGGTACAGGAAATATACACAGTGGATCTTGAAATACAGTATGGGAAGAAAAATCTTGCCCTCTGTAAATTTGCAATAACTTGGCGACCATTAAAGTAAATTATTCATAAAATGGCTCATTTAAATCTATAAAACATGTAAATTTTATTAAAAAATTTAATAAGATATTCATTCACCATTTTGTTCAATAACTGCTTCACAACATTTCCTCATTGATCCAATTAAATTTTTTATAACAGAATCTGGAATACTCTCCCACTCCTCAATCATAAAACGTTTCAAATCATCAAGATTTTTTGGTCGCCGTCTTTCCACATTGGTCTTGATGATATTCCATAGGTTCTCTATGGGGTTGAGGTCAGGACTATTGGATGGCCAGTCAATAACCTCAGGCACATTAGCTTGAAGAAATTCCTTGGCCACATGACTAGTATGCTTAGGATCATTGTCTTGCCGAAAGTGCCAGACACGTCCAAGCATTTGTCGAACCTCAGGTAAGTGCCTCTGAAGTATTTCAACATAAAAGACCCTGTCATTATTTGCTGGAAGCAAAAAAGGCTTGTTTTTCCTTTCATACAAAATCCACTCCAGGCGAAAATTTTTACATGATTTTTTGGAATAGGACGAATTGGTCATGTGCCTTTATACCATTGTTTTATGGTGTTCCTGAACAATTGGAATGCTGTTTCATCTGTAAAAAGGGTCTTATTCCAGTTGTCATCAAGATGAGCACGAGCCCATTCTACCCATCTTTCATTATGTGCACTGGTAAGCATTGGGGTTGCTAATGGCAAGTTCTTATAACCCAAGCTACCCAGATGCTTCGAAATGGTTCTATAAGACACATCAATACCTTTTTCAGCCAATTTAATTTCAATTTTTCGGGAAGAGAGAGAGGGATTTCGTCTTAAATACTGGCCAATTGCAATTGATGTTCCGCTGGTAATTTTTTTAGGGCAACCACTACCTTTTTTACGTTCAATGCTACCAGTTTCCTTTATTTTTTAATATAGAATTTAATAGTTCAAAGTGGGATGTTTGTTTTTCTATTAATCTCCTGAGGAGACTGGATTCCTTCATTCCAGAAATGTAAGATGACTTCAGGATGTGTTTTTTTAACTTGTGATGACATTTTAACTTGATTTACAAAAAATAATAATAATATATTAACTCAAGACTAAATATGAAAGTTGATGCGTTACAAGATGTTGTTTACATGGAATATTTTGTTTACATGATATTTATTAAGATCTTCAAGTCACACTAAATTTTATCACAAATACAGAGGGCAAGATTTTTCTTCCCATACTGTAATTCTACATGGAAGGTTTAAATAATGATTAACATTAATTAGTATTTTAAAGAAATTGGAGAACTAGATGATTTCGTAATGATAAAAAATCTATCCCTAACGACAAATTTATACTAATCCCGTGCATAATTATTTTCTCTTATTTGATATTTGTTTCTATTATTTTTATTATTTTTTATTATTTTTTATTTCTTTTCTTTTCTTTTAGTAGGTAAAACAAACAACCTTATTTAGTAGTTTTAGAGACGTACCTGACTTGGTATATGCGAAAGAGGAAAACGGCTAAGAGGGAACCCACCAAGAAACGTGATCAGGATACACAGTGTAAAATCTAAAAAAGACATTGATTAGTATTTCTTAGTACAAGAAATTGTTTAATGATATTAAAAGATAGTTTTGAGAGTAAAGCATAAATATACATTCGCGGAAATTGTTATTATGATTTAGTATAAATAATGGGAAAATTGTACCAGCATGTCATCATAAATAAAAATCAAGAGATTTGTGTGAGACGCGGATTTTTGATCTCACAATACCCAGAAGCTAGTGGTTCCTTTAAATGTTCCAAAAGCTGGTTACTTGGATTTTTAAGACGTAAAAACCTTTCTTTATGAAGACAAACTAAAATATCTCAAAAGTACCTGAGCAACTCCACCATCAACTAAATTCATTTAATAAATATATAATTAAAAAAAGGTTGGAATTTAATTATGAACTTTACAATATATATAATATGGATGACAGTGTTGTGACCAGAAACTCTTTTGGCTTCCCGAAACGTTTCGGAAAATGAACTTACACTAAGCAGAAAACTAAACCTAAACCTAAACATAAACATAAACTACTAACCTAAACTAGTTTCGGGTGGTTTCTGTTAGTTTCTGTTTCTGGTTTTCCCTAAACTCAGAGTTTTGGGTCACAACGCTGATGGATGAAACTCTGGTATATTTTGATATGTCAAGAGGATTAACTATCAGCCAAAAAGGTGAAAAAACAGTACATATTAAATGTACTGGTAATGAAAAAAATAGATTTACTGTGGTTTTAACCTGTGCAGGAGGTAATTTAGTAATTATTATTTATATAAATAATTTTATAGTAAAATTAATTTAATTTTTGGTATATTTATGTATTTAATCAGTATTAGATTAAAATTTTAATTTGCATTTAAAATTGTAAAAAAAATAAATTCACATATATAATAAATTTTATCAATAGATGGATCAAAATTGAAGCCAATATGTATTTTTAAAGGAAAAAAATTACCACAAGGTCAAACAATTCCTGATGGAGTTGTAGTTTGGTTTCAAGAGAAAGGTTGGATGAATTCTGAACTCATGGAAAAATATATAGATATGTTAATTGAAGACAGAGTTAATAAAAGAATTGATAAGGAACCTGCATTAATGGTTTATGATTCTTTTTCTGGACACTTAAAAGAAACTGTTAAACAAAAATTTGAGGCAAACTATTTTAATTTAGCTATTATTCCAGGTGGGTGTACAAGTATATGCCAGCCACTTGATGTTTCGATCAATAAACCATTCAAAGAACATTTAAAAAAAGAATGGGATGAATAGATGCGTAATGGAGGCAATGGTGTTACTGCAGGTGGTTATTTATGTTGTGCAAGTATCAGTGATGTTTGCAAATGGGTTAAAAATGCTCGGGACAGTATTTCTTCTGAACTTATATTAAATTCATTTAAAAAGATAACAAATCCTATTGATGAATTAGAAGATAATAATGTTTATGAATTACTTGATGAAGTATTTGTGGAAGATAAACAAAATACTGAAAATAATATGTCTTATGATATTTATTATAGTGATGATTTAGAAATAATTTGAACGTTTTTAATAAATTTTTTTTTATTCGTTATAAAAATATTAATATTAATATATTTTTAATATTTTGTGTAATAAATTCGTTACCTTTTTTGGATAATCTTATGCTCAAATTGAATGTCGATCATATTGTAAAAAGGGGGTGCTATCTTTCCAGACTTTACGGTATGTATGATTTGCATTTTCATACATGCAGAAAAAAATCATACATACATAATTTTTATTATATTAATTTAACAAAAATGTATGTATGTATGATCTATGACACGCCATAATGTACAAAAGTCTAATTATTAATTAGGTCGATATCCAATTATATATTGCTTGTAACCAATTATTAAATGTTTTATAAATAATTATTAAATGGTTATAATTATTAAATGGTTATAAATAATTATTAAATGGTTATTAATTGGATTTTAACTAATTATTAAATATACTTTTGTCCATTATGGCGCGCCATATTGATCTGCATTTTCATACATGTATGGAAATAAAATTTATACGTTACATTAAATCTATTGTTACCATTAATACAATAAGAATTTGTATTACCCAACTAGAATATTTTGATGGTCTATACATCATTCAAATAGTTTATGGTTAGATCGTCAAATTTTTATTCCAGAATTTTATATTATTTATATATGTGAACTTTGACCCATCTGCAGCAATATAAATTAAAATGTACCATCAAAGGATATTATTGTTATTTATTTTTACTTCAGTTATTCTGTATACTTGGATACATTTTTATGACAAACTGACAAATGATGATCTATATAGAGAAACTTATGGGACAAAAACCATTATTACTAAAGAAATCTTTTTACACATTAATCAAACAGTTGAAGCATTATCACCTACACATACAGTAATCCGACATGTTTTAAATCATGACAACGCCAACAAAAATAATAAGAATAATCAGAATAACAATAAATTTCTAATGAATAAAACTACAATAGTCAAAAGTGTTGATGGTAAACCTAAAGAATACGTTTCACCAGAATATTATGTTAATTATTTAGAAATATTTAGAGGACAACATCATGCGATGTTAAAAGATTTAATTTATAGGGCAAATAGAGCAGTAAGAAATAATTCTGTTTATTCGGTGACTTTAAAACCACAACTAGCACCATCAAAAAATCCACATGATTATTTATCATTAGCAAGATATTTTTGGCCTAATCCAGAAACAGAAAATGGCTTTCCTTATGTGAAAAAAGATGGATTTGCAAATCCAGAAATCTTTCTTGTTAAAGACTATCAATACTTGAGAACTTTGTTTCATGATATTCAATATCTGGGATTTGCTTATTTTTTCACAAAGAATGAAACTTATGTCGAAAAAACTCTGTATAGATTGGATGAATGGTTTTTAAACGATACAACTAGAATGAATCCTAATATAAATTATGGTAGTTTAATTAAGGGCTCTCGATTAGGAAGAAGAACTGGTGTATTAGATTTTCATCCTGTTTATAGGTAAATATTAATTTTTTTTTAGATTTGTACATTTTTTTATTTTCATTTTTTAATAATTTAATTATAAAATTTTTTTAGAATGATACAGTCGATATATTTAATGAGATCATCAAGAATTTGGAATTTTGAAATTGAGAATGGTGTTAAGAAATGGTTAACAAAATACTATGATTGGTTAGAAAATAATATAATGGGAATAGAAGAGAAAGAAGCACCCAATAATCATGGTACGTATTATGATGTACAGGCAACTTACATTCTACAATATCTGGGTAGAATAGATGAAGCTAGAATTTATTCAAAACAAGCATTAATAAATCGTATCGAGACTGCTATATTACCATCAGGTCAACAACCTTACGAAACAAAAAGACCGACCAGTTGGTTTTACTCTATATTTAATCTAAATGCTTTATTCTTATTGGCCGAAAGAGCGAACTATTTCGGATTTGATGGATGGCGGTATAAAAGCAAGAAAGGTCAAAGTATCAAGAAAGCCGTCGATTATTTATTGCATTTTGCTTTGAATGATGGTCATGATTGGCCGTTTAGAAATATTGGAGAGTTCAAGTATAATGATTTTGTTAAAATATTGGAATTAAGTTATATAATTTATGGAGATAAAAAATATCTAGATGCTTTAATATTATTAAGACCTAAAGCTAAATTGGAACAAGCTTTACGTAATAATGGTGCAACTTGGGAAGATAATTATTTATGTAATTGGAGTCTTATGACAAATAGTCAATTATGGACCTGTTTAGAATAAATGATTTTTTTTAGAATTAAATATATTTTTTTTTTTGATGGACTTTTTTAAAGCATCCAATATATGATTTTTTTTGTTTGTGTAATTTTAAATAGAAAATAAATTTATAATAATAAATATGAAAGATCCAAATATTTTGGTTCCTTTATTAATTTATCAACCAAACTTACAAATTTAATTCTAATCGTATTGATGAAGATGAAGCCGATAGTTGCAAACCTCAAAAAAATATAGTTCGTTTTTTCTTCACAATAACAATAATAATTCATCATTTCTATCAATTTTTAAATCAATTTTAATATTAATGAAATGATGGTGATAAGTTTGAATCATTATCATTTGATTCATTTTTTTGTAGTGATGATGACGATGTTTTTTTAGTGATGATTATTGTTATGATGACGGTGATGACGAAGATGACGACGACGATGATTTTATTTAAAGAAAATTTTTGAAAGCATTAAAAAATACTCGAGAAATTTTTTGATGATATTGAATGATGATGATGATAGGCATAATAACGTTGGATGTGCTTTCACAGCTGTTGAATCATTGTTAAAACAGATAATATTGCTATTGATTTACCATCAGCAACAAAAGTTCTTTTTTTCTTCTTCAACTAGTAAAATTATGAAAGAAACTAACTATGAAAATAAAATGTTGCTGGTGTTGTTATCAGCACAGAAGATAATATTTTGAATGATGGAAGTGAAGAAGTCATACTACTTCTATAGATTTTACAAAATCTGATTCACAAAAATATTGACATCTCAAATAAATTTTCATGCATAACAACTAATATTATAAAACAAACAATTCTTCTACTGCTGCTATTGGTGCTGCTATTGCTACTACTATCGCGATTACATCACCAACATCAATCAATTCTTATAATAATAATAACAATCACTTATTCTCTATAAGCATTATCTTTGCTATTTATTATTAATTATATAATAAAACATTATAATAATAAAAATAATAATAATAATAGTAAAAATGATAGAGTGGTATTTTCTTTAGTCCAATGGAGAGAGGACTTGGTGGTAGCGATGGTGTTGTTGTTGTTGTTGATCATCAAGAAGAAGTTAAAGAAGTTGATGATTTAGAAAAATGTGGATTATTAAGAGGTGATAAAGATGATGAATTATGTCGATAATTAATTAAAATTATATACATTACATAATAAATTATAATTTTTTTCTCTATTAATTTACATTCTTGTGCGAGTATTAATGTCAATGTTAATATTGGTGAATGATTATTAAAAGATTTTTTTTTAAAAACCGAAATATATTATGATAAATTAATTTGTATATTTAATATATAATCCACGGGATTGTTCCAAAAATACAAAAGTCAATAAAGTGTGAGGGCTAAAAAATAATAATAAATTATTATTATTATTATAATACTCAATAATTATATTCAAATTTTCAATTTAAAAGATAGTAAATAATCTACCCAATTCTAAAGTAATGAGCCACAAATCCTTTATACAATCCAAAGATTCCTTCTGTCCTGACTGTTTTAATAAAACAGTCTAAAGTATTCTTATAAAGGCTGTTATTATAACATAGAATTGTAAATATTAAATATATAAATATATGATTCACATAAATATATATATAATCAATCACATACACGCACACACAATATGCATACAATATACACACCTTCCTTTCCCACTTTTCTCAACTTTTTGATTATACATTCGTGTGCTAATAACATCAAAAGGATTCATTGCTGTGCATACACAAAGACCACTCAAAAGACTTGAAAACACATGAACTAAAATATCAGAATCAGTCAATCCTGTTTCCTGTATCGTCCACCTTTTTATATAGAAATAACTTGACAACTGAGTAGCCGAACCAACTCCTGTTCTCAGCATTGCTGCGTCCACACCCCTAAACAAATCTTTGATGCCCCCTTTCTTACTAATTTGTTTCAATGCATCAAATGTATTTTTGTAAGAATGTTGATGTCCAACTGCCATAATATGTTGTGAATGGGATTGCATTCTGGTTTTCACCAGGTAAAACGGTGATCCTAATGCCGCTCCGATAACTCCTGCCAGTCCACCTGATAATATACTTATAGGCATAGATGTATTTGATACATTGAGAAATCCTATCAACGAGTTACGTATTGGATCATAAAAACCTAAACGTGAACCATTCATCACAAGTTGATATACGTATGCAGGCCCTTTTTTCATTTATTGGAATTATAGTTTTTTTAAAAAAATAATCATGAGTAATATAAATGCTAAATATATATACGAATATATATTAAAAATATTATCTAACAACCTATGCCTTTTTGAATTCCTCGCAAGCCTTCACGTCTAACTATCATGGAAAATGCTTGAAATACATTTGTGTAAGGTTTTATATAATTAGAATTACCACGAGCCAATTCACCTTGAAGTTGTAATCGTGTTTTAACCACCTATATATATGGATACATTCCTTCATTATATATAATTTATAGATAATTTTTCATTTATCAAAAAAATCCAAATAATTACTGACCTCCCACGGATTAGTGAATGTGACTGCACCACAGGCAGCTACTCCTCCGACAAAAAATCCCGGTATGGCACCAATTTTTTCTTTAGCTATTGCTGTGTTTATTGCTTGATTTTTTGTAAACAATTTTGCGGCAGAATTATTTACCGCTGTCGTCGTTGTCGTCGGTGTTTCTGTTGTCGTTGTTGGTGGTGAAGGCGGTACTTGTGTTAAATTTGATGACATGCCTGTAAAATTTAGAAATTTTTATCTTTGATTAAAAAAAAATGATGAAATGATGATCATTTTCTGTCAAAGCATACTCGGCTTTATCACGTGATTAATTATAGTTTTGGACTATTGTGAGCTCTTGATTGCCATGAGGTGATCAGTCATGTTGAAGATGTAGTAATTAATCTAAAAAATAATTTAAAGGTTACTCTGAATTTTATACCAATAAACTTTGAAGATAGAGGTAGTGGGTTTTTGAAAGGATGTAGATCACATGTTGATACAACTAACATATTAATATGCATCTTTTGTAATTTCTATCGCGTTGGCATTATTGTGATTTAAATAAATTCTTGGTAAAATTTTTAAAAAATTTTTCCGTATGAACATACTGCAATGAACAATATAATTACGCCATAATATACATTGATAGATGAATTTGGCAGTTGTTTGTGGTCGCATTTATTTTTTAGTATCAACTATTTTGGTAAAGATATATATATTATGCAGATATTTTTACAGTAAGTTCTTTACATGAAATCGCCGACATTATATTGTTTTAAAAGATCGGGTGATAATTTTCTATAAAAAACTAGTGTATTTATTATAAAGTTTACCTTTAATTGAAACATCAGTTCAATTAAAGAGGGAGAAAATTTTCTTTATATGAAATTGTAACCTCCCTAGACAATCTTATAAGTTCAACTTTATCTCAGTGCAGCTATATAAAATCACCCACTAGAATTAACAAATTAAACAGTTAGTAAATACCTTCGGTTCCACGTAATCAAAACAAATTAATATTTAATTATTATAAGATTTAAATACTTTTGATTGGCTTGAATGAAAAAAAACAATGCTGTTAAAACCACCATCTAATCCATAAACTAAATTACCGTATTCTTCATCTGGTACAGAAAATTTGAGGTTTTCACTTCACAGATGAGGAGGTACATATGCAACCCGTTAATCCGAGAGCGATATCGACTTTCTTTTACTTTGTTATTATCAGAAGCTAACCATTCTTTTATGGAAGTAAATAAAATCATTATACGATTATTATTATTATTATTATTATTATTATTATTATTATAGTGTGCTTTCTATTTTAAATAATTTTTTCCTGGGTTTTTTCATTGAAAAGAAAAGTGACTAACTATGATAAGCAAACAAGCGACTTTTCTGTTTTTAAGGGTAGGGGGAATCACGTGGTAAATTAATAGTAAACAATGGCTCAAAAAAAAATTTTTAATGTTGATCATCATAAATAATAATAATAATAATAATAATAACGTAAAATAATAACTCAACATTATCAACATTAACACTTAATACTTTTGCCAATCAGTCTTAACACTTAAATATTTAAACACTTTTACAAAAACTTAAACAAAAACATTTATGCTTAACAAAAACCAAAAACCAAACCTTTGCTTTCTATATTAAAGCAAATAACCAAAACCTCAGAATTCTATATCACTCTGATAACCAAATGGACAATTAAACCCTATTGTTTAATTTCCGACCAAAAAAATGTTTTATTAAGCAAAAATTGAAATAAATTATTTGTAAATAAATTTTATATTATAAGCAAGGCCTGAAATATTAATTAAATAGTTAATTAACCAGTTGATTGATTGATTGTTCTTTCACTTGGTCAAAAGGTAATAATTTTTA